ACCAAGAGTTGAGCAGTTTCAAATGCTGAAGGGAGATTGGTTAATGGGACGAAATGTAAAGCCTTGGAGAATCTGTCGACAACAGTGAGGATGGTGGTATTACCTTCGGATGGAGGTAGGCCGGTGACAAAATCCAACGAAATGTGCGACCAGGGGCGTGCAGGCACAGGAAGGGGCTGGAGTAGTCCTGCAGGGGGTCGATGAAGACATGTTCCGAGCACAAATGGTACATGCTGAAACAAAATTCCACACATCCTGGTAAAGGGTGGGCCACCAAAAATGACTCAGTAAAAGAAATCATTCTGTTAACCCCAGGATGTCAAGAAAACCTAGCAGTGTGGACCCAGGTGCGAACTTTACTGATCATAGTTTTTGGAACAAATAAGCTATTGTGTGGACCATTACCAGGATCGGGTTCATTTTGTTGAGCATGAAGAATGTCTCTTTCGATCTCCCTATCTCCCAGGTCATGGTGCCACTGGTACAGGTCCAAGGAAGGATGGTTTCGTGGGTTTTAGGTTGATCAGAGGAGGAGAACTGTCTGGAAAAGGCGTCAGGTTTGATGTTCTTAGAGCCTGGAATGTAGGTAATGGAGAAGTTAAATCTAGCAAAGAAAAGTGACCATCTGGCCTGTCTGGAATTTAATCGCTTGGCCTGTTGGAGGTATGAAAGATTTTTATGATCAGTCAAGATTACAAAAGGAGTCTTGGCTCCCTCCAACCAGTGCCTCAATTCCTCCAAAGCCATTTTGATGGCGAGTAATTCATGATTACCCACATCGTAGTTAGCTTCTGCAGGGGATAAATGACGGAAGAAAAATGCACAAGGGTGCAATTTGTTATCCAGAAGGGAGTGCTGAGAAAGCACAGCACCAACTCCCGAGTCTGAAGCATCCACTTCCACTTGAAACTGTTGGTCGATATTGGGATGAGTGAAAATATGGAAGGAGGACAACAGAGCTGCTTTATGGAAGAACAACCTCAGCTTAGCCTGTTAGCCTTTGTGCTAGCACCAACTCTATATTGCCTTATAAGAATTAGCTTGGCGGTAGCATGACAAACAAGCTAAACTGAGGTCCTCCATCCATATTTTCAGTT